AGCAAAAATTATATAGTAACCCGGGTTATAATAAATAATTTGCTCCGGGTTAGTACAAAAAATTAGAAATCTTAACCTGCTCCGTGACGGAGTGATACATAATTCAGGTTGATGCCAGAACATTATGCTCCAGTTAACAACCCTACTCCACGAGCTTAATTCCGGAAGGTAGGAGAAAAGTAATAAAGGAAGAAAAGAAAGGTAAGTATATTTTTTTATTTTTATTTAAAAATAAAAAAAAATAAAAATAAAAATAAAAAAATTACTTCGTATATACGTCTGCGCAAACCTATGAACCCGATTTCCGCTTTTACAGACCCTTGACCTTATTTCTGAGGAGAAAGAAGAAAGATAAGTTTATTATTAAGGAAAGTAAAGTAAGTATAAGTTTTTTTTAAGAAAACTGATTATCAAGTTACGCGAAAAAAGTCTCTACTTTTTCTGTTACACTAATTTAATCAGAGGTGATACGTCTGGACATATCGCTATACAGTGTAACAACTTAAATAACAACTACAAAATCGTGAGTATAATCTGAAAGGTGTGTGAGTAAGGTAATTTTCCCTACATATGCTATCGGTGTTGGAACAGATTTATAAGAGATAAAACGTTTATTTACGATTGAACAGTAAAAGAAAATTTTATTAGAAGTCGGGCAACAAAATATTATAACAGCGTGTTTCTATTCTGTCACTACTTCTAACATTTATTATATAATTATTACTATGTTTATCACTATTTATAAATGTTATTATAGTTATTTAATTAATAAAGAAAAAGATAAAGATAAAAGATTAAAGTGTTATTAATTTCTTTAGAAAAAATGCTGCCAAAAAGGAACTCTCTTTTCTTTCTTTTACTACTGCTACTTTTATATTTCTCTCTCATCCTTTTCCATCATTCCCATCATTTGTACTTCATTCTCATCATTTGTGTTCCCACACCACGTGTTTTCTGTACTGCCAATCCTTTGTCGTCACCACAATAGTTTCGGAGGTTTTAGGAATTTCGGAATTTGGGTAAATTATATAAAGGGCTAAACCCCCTTTAGGACAGTTTCGGTTTCGGCTTTTTCCTCACCCTTTACATACGACTGATTTGCATTTGTGTCGTCACTTGATGATGACGATGGTTCATGATTTTTCGTCATCTATGTTACATAAAAATGTGAAGACAGATTTGCATTCGTGTCGTCATCCTGAAGAACCAACCATCGAGACATGTACCAAGGATAGGCACGCACGCAGTGTTGTGGCTTGACAATCAAAATTCGTTTGCGTCCGTGATTCGGAGTTCAATGACTTGCGTGTAAAAAATCGGGAGGTAATTAACTGATAATTTAGATTTCAATGGGTTTTGCTTAAATTATCTTTCAATGCTTTCAATGATATCAATTTTCCTCAAACATTTCATGTAGCAAACTATATAAATGATAAATTGATATGACTCAGAGTGTAAAAAAAATGCAAATTATTTTCATCACTATAATTCCTATTCTGCTACTTGCACTTTCTTGCTCCCTTCTTATTCTGTTACTTAACCTTCCTCTTATATTGTTTGTGCTTTTTCTATTTGGGGCTATTGTAATCTTACTACGCTTTACCCGGTATGGAATTGGACTATCAGTGAAAACATTTATACTATACGACCTAATATAGAATGTCTTTTTTTATGTAGGTTTTTATCTCATAGAGCATTAGAGGAAGCGATTTCTATTGAACGTTCCACATCTTTGCCTCTCGAAGCTCCTGATTGTTTTAAAGTTAGAGGGTTAGAGAAAAATTGGGCCGAGCTTACAAAAGACGGGAGAGGTTAGATTTACTATTACCGTTTTTAAATGTTAGTAATATATTAAGCTTATTATATATTATAGATTTCCGTCAAGAGACTTGGTATAGAACCCACATCGTTGTATCGAGGAGTAGGTTTTATTTTTTCTTATTGAAAAAATACAATTAATCAGATGCCTCTAAACTAATTGCGTCTTTATTTTTTAGGAGACGGAATCACTCCCTTAGAACACCTTGCCGAACATTTGAAACGTGCATAAAAAGAACTAGAGACAGAAACAGACACAGAAGACGAGGACATTGACCAAGAAGAACAGTAATGCCCCCTCGTTGACATGTCACACTGAATCGAGATGCTCTCTCCAATATGGAAGGCTTAAGTGTTACAAAGAAAGGTATTGTGGTTCAAGCAATATTGGACGTTGCTAATGCAACATCAGATCAAATATTATCACGTAACTTTCCCCATAAGGTCAAGAACAATATATATGAATGCTGACCGATCTCAATTTGTAGATGTAAGGTTTACCTATAGGCATAATAAAAACAAAATTATAGGTGTCTTTACTTCTTAATTGTATTAATATAATTAGAACTCACTTTGTTAAAATTAATATTATACTAAACAAATTACTAATATGTTTCTAATTGTCTGTTGTCTGTTATATTTGACTATATTATTGTGTATCATTTTTTTTTCTTTGATCCATCTTAGATAAACTTTTACTTGTGATGTGAGCAAATTGATTCCGCTCATGTTTAAAGACATATTATATCAAAAATATCAACTTACCTTGTTCCTAGTTGGCTCTAGTAGCGAGATATATGTTTACTTACCTTGATCCATTAAAGTATATCCCATGATTGATATTCTAGAATGCAATTAGAATGGATTTGCTCGCGTCCTAATAAAAAATCAATCCAGGTTTCGTCTAGGTAAAAATATGTTAACTCGGACAGATGATGTTATGGAAGAAATAGGTTTAACTTTGTTTTAACTTGTTCTCTATACTTATTATATTTCCATCTAATTTGTCTAGGTAAAAAATATACTTCTAGAAAAAATCAAAACTCTTTCCTATGGTATATGCCATATACATACCTTTGGTACATATCTTTGATACATATCGACATATGCCATATACTACACATATGTTCTATACACATGGATAAAAAATATAAAAATAAAAGATCGAAAATTTATCTAGACAATCTGGACAACCTGGATGGCTAGTCTAAAAACCCTTCTCTCAGCCCGAGAATGTTTCCAACTATCTTTTTTCCATCCAGGAAATCTGTCCAGGGAAAACTTGGACGTAATCCAACATATATACCTACATATTGCACATAGATTACTAAGAGTCTTTTATTACTTTGTAAGCTGTAGGTGATTCTCCAAATAATAGCATTCACCTACCTCGGATCCATCTCACACCATCTTCTCTAGCTTTTTCCAATAGTATTGTTCCTTTTTTCAGTATTTTTTAGCATGGATATCACAAGTATAATACTTAGAATAACATAACTTTTCACATTCTTTGCAATGAACATGCATAGGTGAATTCCAGTAAACTTGACACCCCTCAGGTTGGTATTAACCCCAGTTACAAACTTTGCCAGTTCTAAGAATATAGGAACAACTATAAAATGTCATATCTATACTATATCTAATAATATGTATTGATTACTATATTCTGGAATTAATTTTCATTTTGAACTTTTTTTTCTTGAATAGTATAGCATCAAAATAATTTGAGTACCCAAAGTGAAATAACATACCTATTGTACCTGCATTATCTGATGTGTTGATCAAGATCTCCATTTCTGAAAACTTGGAGCAATGTGAAGATACTTACACATCTGAAAATTTCAAGCTAGAAATAGAGTCAGAATTTGAGCCAGAGAATAAAAAGAATGGCCGCTTCTTCTACTGGTGCTCCGACACTTTTCCTCAATCACAAATTTCAGTAAATAAGAAGGTAGATGAAATATATTGATATCATGATGGTGATTATCCAAAAGGCATTCTTTCTTAAAATGAACTCATTACTAAGTATAACAATGTTGCAACAGCAACCCTTGAAGAAGCATTATCTAGAAAAGAAGATATTCTATTTAAGGCTATTGATATAAAAGAATTTACTGAAAAGATTAAAAGAATACATTTTTACATATTGCGCTTATATGGTCCCCTAATTAATGGGCAAAAAGCTATAGTAATGATCAAAAGTATTCAAGTATCCTTGATATTCTTGTACCAGAGAGTGAATGTTCAAATACATTTGAAACAAATATAGAGAATATTTTCTCTGATGTTATAAAAATTTTCAAGATAAAATATATAGTAACTTTTTCATTTCTTGGTTATAATTATACTTCCTGGTGAAATAATTATGTCAATTACATCAATTAGTAAAACAATTATATCAAATTATGTCCGCAAATTATTTTACTTAGTAATACCTATAAAAAAATTTAAAAAATTGTAATATGTTGAAATACGCCAGTGTTACATCAAATAAATATAGTTATAATGCAAATAAAAAAGCATATTTACATATTTATACTCCTATCACTGAAGATAGAAAGAAAGTTATAAAAATTATATATAAAATTAATATAGTATCACATCAGATGATAAAATTAACATATTACTATAAAGTAATCTGTGAATATGGTTTTTTATTATTTAGATAGTCAATAATAAATAATTATACCTATAACAAAAGTTTCAAATTTTGCTTATATTAATCTCATGTATTCATAAAAATTTCCATCCTGTAGAAGAGTTTACATCATTAAACACCCATTTCCTTATTTCCACCTTCACACAAGATTGCATACTTGTGTTCACTTGAAATATTGAGACAAAATAGATGGCCCTCCTAGTGCAAAATATAAGTTTTTATAATTTGTATGACTTTGTATTGAAAGGATGACTCCTAACCATTACAAAAAATCTGTTTTGTCAATATTAAAATATTACCAGATTCACAATAAATTACAATAATTTGTAGCAATCAAACTAATTTATTGAAAGCTTTTGATCTCTATTTACAAGCTTTCACACCTGATATCCAACTTGGTTTTAATGATTCTGGTTATGATTGGCCTTTTATTATTGAAAAAAAAGTTTAAATATTCTTGAACAGATGTGAAAATGAATATTGGAGGTTGTATTGAAAGATTTTGCACTATGATTACTATGGAGAGATAGTGAAAATTTCAATAATACTTTCTATGGCAAATCTAAAATAAATAAATGAGAGAATGAGAATGGAGATGAGGATGGGGATATTAATAAAGATGTCGATAAGGATGGTGAAGAAGAAATTTTTAAATAAAAAGTAATTAATATTAAAATTAGTTCGGATTAGAAATTCAGATCTACTTTTCTAAAAATATCAGGATACATTTCAATTGATGTCTGTATATCTTTTATGAAACTTTACTCCTGATCAAAAGTGAAAAAGAAAAGTTCATTCAATTTCTATCTAAAAAATGTTAACTTGAAAGTAAGGTTGATATGCCAATAAGCACTATAATAAAATTTATAAAATTGCGAATACAGAGGAAATGTATAAAGTAGCTAAGTATTTTATTAAAGATATCTTAAGTTGTCAAGAACTCATGGTCAAGTGTAATATAATCAATAAGTATAGTGAGGTTACTTTAATCACCTATATCTCTTTATTTAACACTCACAGTCATGTAAATAGAATGAAAGTAAAAAATCTTCTGGATGTTTATACATTTAAATGCAATATAATATTTATCATAAATTGGATTAAAAATATAGAAAAAGGTAAATACCCTAGAGCCTACACATTTTAACTAAATAAAGGTTTAGAAAATAAATATCCAGACTATACATGTTTCCAAAATTGATTTTTGATTTTTGGGATATTTCGTCTTTTTGAGATTTATGCAGAATCTATTTTATATATGGAAGTAAAAAAAATACCTAGTTAAGTATATCTTTAATTAAAGAATTTATCTGGGTATAAATCCTTATAAGATATATTGCACTTCCGGTGGATAGTTATTGAAACGAGAGACATTACGATTAATAATTTGATTTGCAATTTTTGGATAATTTTATTTAGGACAGGATTTCTGTCCGAGCAAGCATCCAATTTTAATAGAAAAGATATCATATGATAGCCATTGATCAGGGGATCTTTTTAAAAAAAGTTTACGCAATTTAAATTATTCCTTGT